TCATTGCTGCCTACCGCTAGGCCTAAACTCTGACAATTGCTAATTCCTTCTCCATGCCTTATCATTTTACCTTTTCCATAATGTCTGATAAATAGAATCATACAGTATGTATGCTTTTGAGGCTGTTTTATTCCCATTAATTGTACAATGTATTTCAGATTCATCCATATTGTTGAATATATCAGTAGATTGTTCTTTATGTGTTGCTGGGTAGTATTCCCCATTTCATTGCTGAGTAGTATTCTATTCTTTCTCCATGTTGAAGGACATCTGGAATGTTTCCAAAAAGCAATTAGGAACAAAGCTGCTATATACATTCATGTATAGGTTTTTGTGTTAACATAAGTTTCCATTTATCTCAGGTAAATATTCTTACTGTCTTTTGACATCCATGATTTCCCATAAGAAATATTAAAAAAAGAGAGAAATCTCTGTTATTCAATGTGATGTCTATGTAATGTGTTTTTCTCTCATTGCTTTAGAAACTTCTTTTGGTTTAGTGTAGTTTAATTAAGATATGTCTTGGGATGGCTTTCTTTAATTTTATACCTTTTATGTTTCCCTGAGCTTCTTGAAATTGTAAATTTATGTCTCTTACCAAATTTGGGAAATTCTCAGCCATTTTTAAAAAGAAGCTTTATAGAAACATAAATCACATACCACATAATTCACCCCTTTAAAATGGACAGCCTTATGGTTTTTAGTATACAGTATTCACAGATATGTGTAACCATCACCACAGTCAATTTTAGAACATTTTTTGTCACATCAAAAAGAAGCCTTCTACATTATGGTTGTTATCTGCATCTCCCCATCCCCTAGCCATAGGGAACCACTAATATACTTCCTATCTCTACAGACTTTCCTCTTAGCATTTAGTATGAATTGAATTGCAATTATTGAATTGCCCATGAACAGTACGAAAAGGCAAAAGCATAGGACACTGAAAGATGAACTCCCCATGTCGGTAGGTTCCCAATATGCTACTGGAAATCAGTGGAGAAATAATTCCAGAAATAATGAAGAGACAGAGCAAAAGTAACAAAACCACCCAGTTGTGGATGTGAGTGGTGATGGAAGTAAAGTCTGATACTGTAAACAGCAGTATTGCACAGGAACCTGGAATGTTAGATGCATGAATCAAGGCAAACTGGAAGTGGTCAAACAGGAGATGGCAAGAGTGAACGTCGACATTCTAGGAATCAGCGAACTAAAATGGACTGGAATGGGTGAATTTAATTCAGATGACCATTATATCTACTACTGTGGGCAAGTATCCATTAGAAGAAATGGAGTAGCCATCATAGTCAACAAAAGAGTGTGAAAGGCAGTACTTGGATGCAACCTCAAAAAGAACAGAATGATCTCTATTCATTTCCAAGGCAAATGGTTCAATATGACAGTAATGCATGTATATGCCCTGCCCAGTAATGCTGAAGAAGCTAAAGTTGAATGGTTCTGTGAAGACCTACAAGACCTTCTAGAACTAACACCCAAAAAAGATGTCCTTTTCATTATAGGGGACTGGGATGCAAAAGTTGAAAGTTAAGAAATACCTGGAGAAACAAGCAAGTTTGGCCTTGAAGTAAAGAATGAAGTAGGGCTGAGGCAAATAGAGTTTTGCCAAGAGAACACACTGGTCATAGCAAACACCCTCTTCCAGCAACACAAGAGAAGACTCTACACATGGACATCACCAGATGGTCAATACCGAAATCAGATTGATTATATTCTTTGCAGCCAAAGATGGAGAAGCTCTATACAGTCAGCAAAAACAAGACT